TCGGCCTTATTTCACACTAAAATAAAATAGTTCTATATACTCTTCATTACCAATATGTTTTCGGTGGATAGCTATTTGTAACGTAACAGCCTTTTGAACTAATTTAATTTTCAAGTAACATTTTTTTCATGTTTAGTTAAAGATCGGGCTCCTTTTACAAGCAACATTGGAAGCTATTCAACGTGTTATTGTCCCATAGCTAAACCTGTAATTTTTTCTAACTTATATAAACTGAGAAGATAAGAATTACGTAGAAAAATAAAAAACGCGATATTTGTATTATTTCAAAAAGGAACGAACTCAAAAGAAGCGAAATATGAAGGCAAAAGAAGAAGAAGATTTTCGGATTAAATAATAAAAACGTATTGGAACTATTTCGCCTATTTTTCTAGTACTACTACTATTCTTCAAAATGCCATTAAAGCCGTTTTTCGTGAAATTAACCGCGAAAAACTCAACATCTTGGCGCAGTTCTAAGATCGAGTTCGAGTTATACGCAGAAAATTACTTCGGAAACGACCTACAGCTGTAGAGCATTACTTTGAGTTACTTTTCACATTACAAGACTACTGAATTCATGCTACTTATTGCATAAAACACACTAAATACCTAATTATAGTCTTATCGCTACACGTATATCGCACAGGTAAAGTAACAGTATTTTTCTGTTACGTACCAGTCCGACTATGTTTTACAAATATTGGCCTTAACATTAATTTTATCAGTTCAATTAATACGTAGTTCTTTAATTCCATCCTGAAGCTAGGAAGCTGTGTACCAACTTTTGAAAACATTATATTAGGAGAGCAGACTTTTTCAATAATATAAAGCAACTTTAAAAAGTACTTCCAAAAATTGTAATGCAACAGTCCGCTGTTGAAACATTCATAACTCCTAAACCACAGGAGTTACAAAATATTTTTGTATATATTGAATAATCCCACATACTTATGCTTTCAGATGCATGAAGAAAAATTATCCGAAAATTGTATTCTCGCGAGTTTCAGCGGTATTTAAAAATTAGTGTGAGCCAAAATGTAATGTAACAGTCCGCGTTTTGGGCCATATGAATATAGTACTTCTTAACTTTTTCCCGAAAATTTTCATACAGGCTCGAAACTATGTCCCGCTCAAAAATTATTATTTTTTATTGAAACATTAGGTCCAACGTTTTCGCTAGCAATTCACGTTCACGTTTGGTTTTGTGGTCAACAGAAGGCATATCCTCCATTGCCGTCTTAAAAAACCAGACGAAAGCGTTATACCTCTGCTACCACCAGCGGGTTCCGAGTTGAATACTTTCAGAGCTGGAGCATCGGTGGCCATTCGAACGACATGGCCAAGCCAGCGGAGCCGCTGTACTTTAATTCGCTGCACTATGTCCATGTTGTTCTAAAGCTCATACCGCGCATCGTTCCATCGTCTGAGGTACTCTCCATCGCCAACGCGTAAAGGCCCGTATATCTTCCGCAAAATCTTTCTCTCGAATACTCCAAGAGCCGCCCCATTGGATGTTGTCATTGTCCATGCTTCTGCGACATATACCAGCACGGGCATGATGAGTGACTTATAGAGAGAGGACTTTGCTCCTGAACTGCCTACTCAGCCCAAAGTAGCACTTACTGGCAAGAGTGATTCTGCGTTGGATTTCTACGCTGAAATTGGGCCGAATGAATAAAAACAAAGCAATTGCTTTTTCTTAAAATTTTACTTCAATTTCAATAACTTCAATTTTATTTGAATAAATCGAGTAAAGTGTAAGAAATTTTAGTAAAAAGCAATTGCTTATTTTTTATTCATACGGCCCATTATTATCGGTGTTAATGCTGGTTCCCAAGTACAACGTGGCGACGAATAATTGTTACCCCGGTTTTTTTGAGAAATAAAAGGGTCCTTTATAGATTTTGAGGAAAAAGTATTTTATTCTTAACTTTCCACAGATTTTACTTTAGTTGTATTAATTAGTTTTTAAATTTTAAACCTTATTTACATTTGGCAGCAGTGTAAACTTTGAGAGAAAACTTCATTTGGCACGCAGGTCTTCGTCAGTTAATTTATTCCATATCTTCTGTAACCATAGGCAAATTTTCTCCATTTTGAGTCCCCTATACTCCCCCTTTTGTCCACCATAAGGCCTCATACTTAAAAATCGAATAGACTCGGAACTGGTGACTAGGACGGCCATTCATTCGACCAACCTTATACAGTTTTTTCTTTTTGTATTTTTTTTGTACAAAGCCTAAGAAAAAATACACCTGAAAAAGACTTGCGTGCCAAATGAACTTTTCTCTCAAAGTTTAAACTGCTGGCAAATGTAAATAGGGATTAAAATTTAATAACTAATTTTTACTACTAAAGTAAAATCTGTGGAAAATTAACAATAAAATACATTTTCGCAAAATCTATAAAGGACCCTTTTATTTCTCAAAAAAAAAACCGGGGTAACAGATGAAATGAAATTCTATACTTTCTCGAAATTATAACTGTCAAAAGTGACGTCGGTGCCAAGGTGCGAATGTGCTGACTGTTTGTTTGAGATACTTCGTATTTTCCTCGTTTATCACCAGACCCATTCCCTTTGCCTCCTTATCCAACTTGGAAAAGGCAGGACAGACTTCGCGCGCCAGCAATTGCACGCTCTTGTAGTAAATTGTTCCTGAGCGGTTCAGTTCTGCAGTTCGCGAGATCACCGCTTATAAAAAGAAGGAGCTCTTCTTTATATAATTAGTGTAGGTAACACAGAGCAACACCGATTTTGATGCGGCAAATGTTAAAGATGTTTTTGATAGACATTTTTGTACTGATTACGAATCCGTAAGTATAAAGTTTCCATCAGCTCCAGTTTTTACGAAAAACGTGGTGAAAGTGTAAAAAAATCGCGTTTTTTGCAATATTTTAGAACCTCTTGCAAGGAAACAAGAGGTGATAGAACCTACCACTTACAGGTCTATTCTGCACGTTACCGAAGATTTTGTGACCGAAAAATTTTATTACCAAAAAATGTTACCACTTCTAGTCACCGCGATTCTAGGTACGTTGGTAATTTAGTGAAAATATTCAGCTAATTCAGCTATGAAGATTTGTGTAAATTCCTATATTTCATATTTCACAGGGCAATATTTTGTTACCAGTTTATGAGATGGTAACAAAATTTACCGGTTACAAGAGAGCACAGAATGCGAAAAAGGTTTACAAATTGACAGACACTTTAATTACCGGTTACAAAACTTATATTACCAGCGCAGAAAAGGCCTGTTAGGCTTAAATTAAAGCTAGAACTACAGACTACTATCCCTGAAAATACTATTCCTGCTCCTTGCCCTAATGGTCACCTATACTCATTCATGTTTTATCGTCCAACAACAACAAAAAATACTGGAAAATTATGCAATTGAAAAAAAATGTGTCGAAATCATTTTCCTGTCATAAACATATCGATGGTCCTCTAAAATAACGACACAATTCAAAATTCAAAAAATAAAAACTCGTACTATTGTTAAGTGGCTCATGTCTTTAATTGTTGTCTTATTCATGTATAATCTTTACTACTTACTTTAGCTGGGATTAGACATGGGTTAGCCAAGCATTAGGGACAGTATAAGGGATTTGACTTTTTGATTTTTGAGTTGTGTCGTTACTGCAGAGGACCATCGATATGTGAATTTATATATTTCAATTTTTAGTTACATATACATTAGGGTGCCCATCGAAAATGCTTTTTTTGGGAATTTCAAGAACCTACCCCCTACTTTTGGTCCTTTCTATGAGAAATAGAATTGCCTGTTTTTGTAGATTTTTTGAAGGTCGTGAAGGTCGCGACCTGTCGATTTATGTCAGAAAATGGGATTTTGTAGATTTATGGGTTTTTGAATGACTACTTTTGATTCGATTTCAAAGATCGAATATGGTCTGAGAAGAGGATATATAGGCCTTCAAAATGGTATATAATGATCTATTTTCGGACTTGGCTTGTTGGGATTTTTTATCGGGTAAAAAAAAACATATTTCTCATATTATTTGTTAATCTTAACCATCGATAACTTTCACCATTTCAAAATATGTAGTACTGTTTAAAAGTACATTTATCTTCAAACAAACTGATACCTCATTTATTGAAATCGCATAAAAATTGTCGAAGTTAGGCAACTTTTCTTAAATACAGCCTTGAAATTATATGTTTGTGTACTGTATTTTTATATATTTGCGCAGTGTGGCTAAGAAATTCATCAATATTTACTCAACATTTATATATACCATGGTTATTTAGCAGAAATTAGGTTTTTTAGAAAATTTTAGCGCGGCACCGCCCACTTATATCATATATGTGTATCTCAAAAACTATTTCACCGATCTCGACCCAATTTGGTATACACACTGATCTGCCCATCCTTAAGCACCATACTGAAAACTTTTCTAATCGGTTGGGATTTTTTTTATTTTGGATATTGAATACGATCTTAGTCTACAAAACAACTAACATGAATTCAGCATTTCTTTAGAAATTTTTGCTCGAACCAAAGCAGGTCATACAGGTCATTAAATCTATTTTATTAATTATATTGTGCAGTTAAGAGAAAATTTAATTCTTTTCTTTGTTTGAGTATTGTTTATTTTTGGGTACAAAGTTAGCAACACTTTCTTCGATGTAAGTAATGTTATTTAATGCGTATTGCATATTTAGAAAAACCTTATAATTTAAAGTGAGGTTAGGTTATATAATATAAATATTTTCTGTTAAAAGACAATGCCAAACAACAACCAAGTGAACGATTTATGGCTTATCGGAAGGGCCTCAGAAAATATGACCAATTGTGTCTTTCCAACAAATAAACAGGTTTTAAGTCGGCTTCTTCATGAGCATATTAAAAATGAAAAAAATGTATAATACAGTGCTCGATTAATATCTTCTGAAGTTGTTGAGTTTTGGGAAAAGAATAACATGTTATTTGCAGATGAACGGAATATAATTTCGAAGGTAAGAAAACTGCACGCAGAATGGCAAAATTTATCTATAACTTGGACCATATGTTCGACATAGCTTCTGCCAAAAATAATCAAATAGCGCGTAACAACAATGAAGATGCAACTATAAAACTAGAAATGACAACAAAGCTGAGTAACAAACGTAAAAGAATTGAAAGTGAATTCCTCAATCGCCTGATCAGGACTATGGGTCAAAAAATGAGGAAACCCTGTTTGAAAAACATAATTTTAAAGTTGATCTACTGTTTACCCCAAACACAAATAATAAAATTGACTTAATGACGGATGGTGCATGTGCTGCTTTGGATCGAGCAAAAGTTTCCAATAGAAATGCTGCATTCATTTTAGCTGCAATATGCCATGCGTTGCAGTGTAATTTGCAGAATATCTGCTGCAATGTAGAATCCATAAGACTTAGGGCTGGTTGTTCAATGTCTGATTAGCACAAATCGGAGGTAGAAGCTCCGGTTAAGCACAACTACTGCTTTATCGATCACATGTTACATGCATGATGTCGAAATCGTCGATAGTATAGTGGTAGTGATAACCAGACATTAAACAACCGGCCCTTAAACGAATAAAATATCGGGAAAAGATTTCAAATATATTAAAAGATTATTTTAATCCAGACACATTATTTACAGTCCATTGGGATGGAAAATTGCTGCCAACATTAATGTCAAAGGAGAACGTTGATCGAGTAGCTGTGATTGTATCAGGAGAAAACGAAACTTTTAGGTGTACCAGCTATTAACAATGGAACTGGTGAAGCTCAAGCACAAGCAGTTTACGACCTACTTCAAGACTGGAATATAGGAGATCGCACAGTAGCAATGTACTTCGATACTACTTCAAGCAACAGTGGTTTAGAAAAAAGGGGCGTGTGCTTTGCTGGAAAATAAATTAAAAAGAAAGGCCTTCTTCCTTTAGCTTGCAGACACCATATAATGGGGTTACCAGTTGGTGCAGTATTTAATACTCTTTTTGAACCCTCCAATGGGCCCAATATTAAGCTCTTTGAAAGATTTAAAACTAACTGGAAAAATATTTCTAAATTTGAATACAAATCTGCATTAGAAGATCCTAATATTATTAATCAGATATCACTAGTTCGGGATGAGTTGATCGCTTTCTTTCGAAATCAAATGGAAAGTGTCCAGCCAAGAGATGATTACAAAGAGCTCCTCCAACTGGCATTGCTCTTTTTAGGTAAAGATTTTCATAAAATTGCTCCTATCATGGCTCCTGGAGCTGTTCATTGAGCAAGGTGGATGGCAAAGATAATTTACTGTTTAAAAATTTATTTATTCCGGAATCAGTTCGTCTTAACTAGTAGAGAACTTAACTCTTTGCGTCAATTCAACATTTTTACAGTTCGAATATATTTGAAAAATTGGTATGCATGTCCTAAGCCTACGTTAGCTCCGTTCAATGATCTGAAATTACTAAAGGAACTTATAGAATACAAACACAACAACTGTAAATTATCGGAAGTAGCATTTAACAGCATGTCTCGACATTCTTGGTATTTAAGTGAGAAATTAGTCGCACTGGCATTTTTTGAACCTTCTGTGCCGGATGAAATAAAAGGAGCCATGATATTAGCTTTGACAAAAAAGGGTTAGACGCACCTGGCCGAACGATAAAAATAAATAAAAATTTAATTCCAAAGCAAGAACTACCAGACTTTGTGACGCAAGATACCTTAAATTTTTTTTAAGCAATGAATGTTTCAGAAGGCTTTCTGAAAAAAAAAAACTTAGTTTATGGTGTGAAAATCCGAACTACCTCAAAGCACAAAATAAAATTTAGAAATTAAATGTTGTAAATGACGCAGCTGAACGTGGAATTGCGTTCATTGAAAATTACAATTCAATTTTAACGAATCAGGAAGACCAAAAACAGTTTCTTCTCCAAGTTGTAGAAAACCATCGTCTACAATTTCCAAACTAAAAAAAAAATACATTCATTCAAGGACTCATTATTGATTAGGACTCTTTCGTTTAAAAATAATTGATTACATTCTATCTAAACTGATTTTAAAATTTAAATAAAAAGATGTATGAAAAAATTAAATATCTTGCTTTTATTTCACTCAAAGGGCAGCGATTTCTATCCGATTAGAAAAATTTTCAGATCAGTGTGTATACCAAATTTGGTCGAGATCGGTGAAGTAGTTTTTGAGATACACATATATGATATAAGTGGGCGGTGCCACGCCTGTGTTGCTAAAATTTTCTAAAAAAACCTACTTTCTGCTAAATAATCATGGTATATATAAATGTTGAGTAAATATTGATGAATTTCTTAGCCACACTGGGCAAATATGTATATAACACACTACACAAACATATAATTTCAAGGCAGTATTTAAGAAAAGTTGCCTAACTTCGACAATTTTTAAGCGATTTCAATAAATGAGGTATCAGTTTGTTTGAAAATAAATGTGCTTTTAAACAGTATTACATATTTTGAAATGGCGAAAGTTATCGATAGTTAAAATTTAAAAAAATTATGAGAAATATGTTTTTTGCTTAGCCTATAAAAAATCCCAGCAAGCCAAGTCCGATAATAGCTCATTATATACCATTTTGAAGGCCTATATATCCTCTTCTCAGACCATATTCGATCTTTGAAATCGAATCAGAAGTAGTCATTCAAAAACCCATAAATCTACAAAAACCCAGGTCTACAGGTCGCGACCTCTAAACGACCTTCAAAGAATCTACAAAAATAGGCAATTATATTTCTCATAGAAGGGAACAAAATTAGGGGGTAGGGTCCATCCATGACATCCATGACATGATTCAATAATTAACCGGGACGTTACACATTCCATTTTCCCCTTTCAGTTTTCAACACACTCACACTTTTTCACTAACACTCTCTTATTTATGACTTGAATGGGCAACTTGCTTTAAATTTTTCCCTTTCACTTGAGTTTCAATTTTGCTATCAATTTTGTGAAAATAAAAAAATACTAAGCTTCAGCATGCTAAAATGTTAATCTACAATGGAATTAATAACGGAAAATATTCTTCAGAAGCTAGCTCTTGAAGACGACATGTTGATAATGAAATTGATTCTCAAATTGAATGCAGCCTACGTAATGACTTTCTATTTTGATAATTTTTGACAAGCAATGAGTGTGAGGAAATTGAAAAGCAAAACTGATTGTGTGTCGTCAGCGTAAAGGTTTGCTCATTATTGACATTCGAGTTTTGATACTCCCTTAACTCCCTTACAAAAGCTTTGCACACACACACGAACCCACACACAGTGCTTGCTAAGGGAGCCAATTTTATCAAGAGGGAGCGAGAAAACAGTTTTCTGAGCTAACTTTTTATTATTGAATCATGCATCCATGATAAAAACATTACAACGTAAAATCATGATAAAAAAATAGGAAGGTAGAACCGCTGAGAGGGATTTTTTAAATTCTTGACGTTTGCAAGCAATTTAATTTTAAACACATACTCACAAACACATTCTCATTTTCAATCTCAAACAACAACAACTTTGAACAATTCCTTTTTTTTACAACGCTTTTCAACTATACTTAATGTGACCAACTATTTCATAGCTCAAAGAAGTACAGATTAGGTTGGGTTAAGTTAACGCCGCGAGCCGATTACGAAGTTTCGAATGCGGCTAATTTCGATACATGAGAGCTCAGTGTTTTTTCAGAAGTGCGAGCCAAAATTCTTCCACCTTAGTCTCGCGAAGGTTGGACAGTGTAAAAGAAAGTGTGGACGTTGAGCCAGATCAAAAGGGGTGTATAAAAGTCGTCCTTTAACCAAAAGTTCCACATCCTCTACATAGGCGCAGCCCACTTTTTCCAATTCCTCTAGAAGGTGGTTTACAACCGCAATAAAGAGCAAGGGAGAGAGAACGCCCCCTTTTGGAGTGCTCCTGCTTGGAGTGCTTGATTCTGCTCTGAGTGCAGATGCTCTCACACTCCGCCGTGACAGTTCTGCCATGAAGTAAGCTTATTAGGTTGGTTTCAACCCTCAGATTATGAATATACTTGACTATTGCCTCTGGAGTGACATTGTTGAAGGCCCCCTCGATATCAAATAAGGCCTCTACTGCATAATCTACATGCATGAAGGCTTCCTCTGACGACATTCCCAATGTGTGTAGGGCGGTATTCACCAACCTTTTCTTGCAATAAGCATATTGAGCTCTTGAAAGACAGTCAGGAGTAATCGCGTTTCTTATGTATAGGTCTATCAGTTCCTCTAATGTTTTTAGCAAAAACGAAGAGACTGATAGGTCTAAAATCCCTACGGGAAATATCAGAGCCTTTTCCTGCCTTCAGGATGAACGCAACACTGACTACGCTTCAAGCCTTGGGGATGTACCCGGTCCTCGCGCAGTTCTCATAAATAGGATCCAACCAATTGCACGACACCATCAGAGCCCTTTGCAGTTGCGCAGGATGCCATCGGTCCCCGGCGACTTTAATGGTTTAAACGAATTTATCGCCCAGGCCATGTGACGACCATCCAGAAGATGGGAGAAACAAACGCAAAAGCATTTATATCATGCGGCAAAAAGTGCGATAGCGATCCGTAAATTGTCGCTAACTGGTTACAGAATCTCTCTCCTAATGTACAAAATTTCGCAAAGAAGTACATTTGACTGTACTTCGAAGTACGATGTACAAGAGCGCAAAAAGAAGTACTGTACTTCCGAAAGAAGTACGGTTGGTCACATTAACTATACTATAAATATAGCAAAGGTAAGGTAGGTATCATATCAAAGACATACAATTAGAAAAACTCTAGATATGTATGTATGTACACATGTAGGCATATACTAAATGGGAGCAAACAACATTTTGCTTGCATAGTTTTTTGTTCTCTTTTCACTGCAAGTTGAATTATTTTAGTAGATATTGCAAAATTTTATACAGACAAGACAAAAAGTATAACATAAATTTAAAAAAAAAAAACTTTTTAATGTACCACGCTTTTATAAATGGACTAAAATTAGAAGATAATAATTCCCAGTCCCATAGAACTTGTTTTGATAACTTTTGATTTTGAAATTTTAGCAAAAGTCATTATAAACAATTTATGAGATTGAAAATGAAAAGCGCGGGGCGCATGTAATAGGCCTGATTTGAAATTGAAGAGCAATATATGTATGTATATGGGTATATTAAGAACGACCGCTTAAAATCGATCTCAAATTTGTATTTTCGCTGTAGAAATTTTAGGTCTATGTTATCAAATAAAACACCTCTTTGAGGTAAAATTTTCGAGTGACGAAAGCTGAACTAGAAACACAAAACTTATGATATCAATTTCGTGACGAAAATTATACGCGTTTTTTAACTGCCTTTGAAAGGTACGGAAAATCTCTATTATTCAAACGAATCGTTGCAAAAGTTTTGTTTTTTATTTTGTGTTTCTAGCTGTAGATGGAATTTCGCAACGTTCCGAATAAATAAAAAAGATTTTCCGTACGTTTCCAAGGCAGTTAAAAAATGCGTTTAATTTTCGTCACGAAATTGATATCATAAGTTTTGTGTTTCTAGTTCAGCTTTCGTCACTCGAAAATTTTACCTCAAAGAGGTGTTTTATTTGATATCAATTATTTTGGGGTAGCAAATTTAAAATCGACCAAAATACAAACAGTAATCTAAATGTTTTATTGTTCTCAAATAAATTACTAAAAATGTTTTCTAAATCTTAATTATATATTCAAATCGATGTGTCCATTGAAGCATATAATTTTTCGAATACGGAACAAAGCGAAAAAGAATGATCATATCCTTTGTATTCGAAAAAATTAAAATTAGAAAATTATGAGAAATGAAAACTTATCAACTTGATACCAACTTTGGATACAATAAAAAACTGTACTCGTCTGATTGTCTCGAAGTTTATTTTGGTTAAGATTTCTACCAGGTGTGGGGGGCGCACATGTGGTTTTTTAAAGAAGTTTTACTTCTATCACGTGTACGATGTTGCACTCGTGCTATTAAACTAATGATTTTTTCTCAAGTAGTTTTGCTCAATGGCAATTTATACACATGTATGTAAGTAGTAGCGGCGCATTGTGTGAACTAAATGCATTTATACATACATATTTATGTACAACTGAAGGTAATATTGTACGCGTCCTTCCAGGTAGGTTAAGTGCGGGTGATAAACCCATGTACCATAGGTAAATATTGTGTACATACCTGCAATTAAAATGGGGAAAAATGTTACAATTTCGGCATGTGACTGAAAAAACTCTAAAATACACACAAATTGTGGTTTGCAAGGCATGTACGAAGTGATTAGCACAGCTGCACCCTTCGGTTTTTGAGAAAATGCCCGAAATCTATATTTTCAGCAGCCCGACTTTCAGTTTTCGGGCGATAACGTTATGACATATTTATATTTTAAAAACACAAAAGATAGCGTTAGATAGCTTGTTTGAAGACCCTTCTACTGATATCCACATCAATGTCATGGACTGAGTAGTACAGCCTCAGTGGTAATTTAAAAAATTGCCTTTTTTCGAATTTCAGGCAGCAGCCACGCCCACAAAGGCATACGAATCAAAACATCCTGGAACAAAACCTTCTTAGTTTTTTTGTACTTTAATTCCTGAAAGTTTGAAAAAAATTAAATGATGGTACGTACAGACGCCACATACATACCAAAGCATCTCGTAGTGGAGACACGAACCAAAACACGTTTACCTCTATATCTTTCCAACTAGTAGCTGGAACTTAATATATAAGGTATCGTTTGAAAGGTATTGGCCTATAGAATAACACTAAATATGTTGGAAAAAGCAAAAAAACCTTTTTTGTTTCGCAACACTTTAGCCTAATTTTTAAGAATCCTGTTAATAGTTTATGAAGCTTGAATACATTTTCTGGAGACACTCTGCAAGACCTTTCCAACGATATCTCAAACATGTCTACTAGATGTCGGGATAACAACTTCCAAATCTCGTGTATATATAAGCGAGTCATTTCAGCATGCTACTGTGGATGCTTTCGTCACTCGCGCTTACTGCCGTGCGCTGTGATTAGCCGTGGGTAACACAGTGCGGCGCCGCGCCATTCCGCTGATACCGAGAGCTGAGTTACTGGCGCCGATACCGATTTTCACAACTCTGTGACGCAATGGCGCCAGCAACACCGGATTACTAACAACAACGGGCGGCGCAAGGAACCAGCAAAGAACACACAAAAGCGAAGTGTCACTTGTAAAATGTGCAGCACAAGGCGAATTTTTACAAGGTGGTGTTGCTAAAATTAGCCGCGGTCCTTCTGAATGTGAAGATTATGTGTTTGTTGTATTTTTGGGTTTTGAACTTGGCTTGTTTTTGCCCAACCGATACCATCTTGTATTCACCTTAGTTCAACACCGGAACACTGACAACACCGGGTGTCGCAAAGAACCAGCAAAGAACACCCGAAATAGAAGTGTCTCTTGTAAAATGTGCAGCACAGCTAGGATTCGTCGCGGTCTTTCTGAATGTGAAAATGATGGGTTGTTGGGTTTTGAACTTGGGTATACTTGAGCTTTTTCTCAACCGATATCACCTTGTATTAATTCACTTTGGTGCAGCGTGCAGCAATAAAGGAAATGAGCTTTAGCCTGAAGAGGCGTAATTGCGCCAACATACTGTGCTGATCACGACAGTGGCGCTGGAGTTAGTGTGTCAGCGCCAAAAAATTTGCGCCGTTACCCAGGCCTAGCTGTGATGTATGTAGTTTGAATATTGCCAATTAAATCTAATACTTTGTATTGCATGCGCTCCACGTTTTTCGTTTTCAATCTCATAAATTATTTATAATGTTAAAAGTTATCAAAACAAATTCTGTGGGACTGAGAAATATTATTTTCTACTTTTTAGTCCATTTATAAAAGCGTTGTATATTAAAAAGTTTTTTAATTTTTATTTTATTTATTTTCGCATTACATTTAACTATTACAGGTCGGAAAACTTTTTAAAATTTGCTAATTACTTGGTGTTATTAAATGCCCGTTTATGTAGCTAAAAAATTCATTTTTCAAAGTGACAAGAATAAAGGAAAATTTCATGCTTGGAGGATGAGCAGCCAACTGTTAAAAACGTTATAATAGCTCGTACATAAATAAAAAAAATGTTCCATCAACTTACGTATACTTTTCGGGAAAGGCATCAAAATTTACACTGAGGAAAAAACCGAAGTATCCCTCCAAATTTAAGGTGAAAATGTATCCAATTGGATACATATGTATCAAAACGACAACGCTGACTACCGTATTGAAAGTGTTCGCACCTTTGATTTTTTTAAAGGGTAAAGGCCAGAAATAGCAATAACGCGGCTGAAAAACAACAAAGCCGCTGGAGCTGACAG